TGTTAATTCTAAATTCCCCCTCGCTACGCCCAGAGTTTTTCACTTCATGACTTTATCATAATTAATTCGTTGTCAAAGAATTAGTCACTTGCCAAAAACATTTACCAAAGTGGCTCTGAAGGTTCTCTGGCTCACTGTCAAATTCGGATTCCCCAATGGCAATGCTTAAGTCGCTGTCAGAGTCAATCAGAGTTATCTTCCAGGAAGATTCACTTCGACACCAACTTAGAAAGCAAGCTATGTTTGGTACTATATATTATTGATCTTATTGATCTTCCAAAATAAGTGATGTTTTGCTTGAATTCCAATTGGAACATAACAAACATCGTGTTGGTTCGCTTGTACCTTTGTATATAATTTTTTTCCTGTGACCAGACGAAAAGTAGCCGGCGGTAAAAGTTCAAGTAGCCGGCGGAACTCCGCCGGCCGCCGGCTTATTCTGAAACCCCTGGATAAGAGTCACCAAAGTCCACCGAGGGATAACGTACGACGAAAGACCATGGATGAAGGAGTACATTGACCTAAACACCCCACTAAGGGCAAAGGCCAACAACAACTTTGAGAAGGACTTCTTCAAGCAGATGAACAACAGTGTGTTCAGCAAGACCATGGAGAACGTCCGCAACCGCGTTGACATCAGACTAGCCATGAAGCCCAACTTTGAGAAGTGCACAATCTTCGCAGAGAACCTGATCGCCGTCCACATGAAGAAGACCAAACTGGAGAGCTCTGAACAAGCCAATATACTCCGGTGCCAGCATCCTTGACATCAGCAAGACCCTGATGTATAACTTTCACTACCTACAGTATTTATCAGGAAGAGGTACGGTAACAGAGCAAGGTTACTGTTCACTGACACAGACAGTCTGTGCTATGAGGTACAAACCGACGACTTTTACAAGGACATCTCCACCCATGTGACAGGACTGTTTGACACCAGCAACTACCCGAAGACAAACCCCAGTGGGATACCGACCGGAAAGAACAAGAAGGTCATCGGACTGTTCAAGGACGAAAGTGCATGACCGAGTTTGTTGTGTCGACGGCGGGGTGGTTCTCAAAGTCATCAACGAGTTTGGAAACCTTGGGCAAGTGGTGATGGCGGAAAGTGGTGAAGGGTGGCAGAGTTTGGTCGATGACATGTCGACGACACATCGATGACAAAGGCGGAAATCCTTAGCATAAATGGCAGTGGCGGAAAGTAAAATGACGGAAGTGGCGGAAAGTAAAATGACGGAAGTGGCGGAAATCCTTAGCACAAATGGCGGGCCGGAAAGTAAACTGGCGGAAGTGGCGGTGGAGGTCAAGTTAACAAAAATCCAGTCACCTAGTAAGAAACACGAGTGAAGTGTGCTCTAACCCGCAATTGATCACTGCTGACTGGGGACGAGTGTTAGAAAGTGCCCAAATTAAGAAATGAACCAAATCACTAAAAAGACCACCTCAAAATTAGTAAGTATACAAAGTTTGAAGACGTTTACATGAATAATACCCTTCGAATAATAATAAGCTTTCGAAAATCGCGATATTTACTATGAAATGTAGTCAAATGTACTGTAATTTTTGTTTTTGGGGACGCGCGTCCCAAAAACAGTCTTTTAATCAGTAATAATTCACAATTTTCGAAAGCTTATTATTCGTAGGGTATTCATGTAAACGTCTTCAAACTTTGTACAGTATACTGACTAATTTTGAGGTGGTCGTTTTAGTGATTTGGTTCATTTGTTAATTTAGGCACTTTTTAACACTCGTCCCCAGTCCACTCATCAACTTCGGAATCGGGCTAATTAGACCTCCATGGGATTCAATCTGTTTTTATGAATCCTAAGTCCACTCTAATTGTTTACCATTTTACTCATTTCGATCAATCTGAATCAATTGCGAGTCATTCTTACCTCAAGAAAGGAAACCTTCACCAAAAAATCATATTTTTCTTTTTGATTTTCAATTCTTGAAAATATTTCTTTAATCACTCTTGGAATGACAGCATTATTCATCTCATCGTCAACATTTGATGTGTTTATTGTTGCACATGTACCCATAGAATATGTCTTACCGGACCCTGTTTGACCGTATGCTAATATGGTGACGTTGTAGCCGTTGAAATATGTGTCCATCAATGGCTCCACCACTTGGTTGTACAGATCTTCTTGTTGACAAGTGGAAGCAAACACATAATCGAATGTGAAAGGTTTATCACTTCCGATTATAACTTGTGGTTCCTTTGGAAGAACTTCAAGGCACTCACGACACCCATCGTTAATTTCTTTACTGATGAGTGGTCGGATCCTCAACGCAACTTTTACTGGTATTACTTTACCAGACATTTTAACTTTTATTGTTCCAAAATTCAAATGCTGTAAAATAAAATAAAATAAGCATTTCTTAGTATTTGACATGCAGTCAGGGGCCGGTTGTATAAATCTCTTCAGGCCTAGAAAATATATGTATCTTCCTGGCAGCAAAATTCAAAAATTAAAATTTCCTGTGTAAGTCAACTACATAAAACGTCCTGCATATGTAAATTTCAGAGAACGTGTGGACTATGATACCGCACATCTCGACTTGCAAAATGCTCGAATTGGAATTTTCAAACAATAAGTGAATTATGATTTTCTTTTTCTTTCTGTGTTGGTGTTGAGTACTCAGGTGAATAATATGATGTTTGTGATGTTACTCTGAGTGTATATCCACACCGAGCGAGCTTGAAAAATATGCCCGGCCACGGTGGGAATCGAACCTACGACCTTTGGAATGCTAGCCCAATGCTCTGCCAACTGAGCTACGCGGTCAGGACGGTTCGAGTAAGTGATATTTCGGAACAGAATCTAGTTCCTTCGATACCAATGTAATCTAGTAATATGATTTTTTTTGTGTAATCTAGTAATATCTAGTAATTGTGTAATCAATGTAATATGATTTTAAAGTGCATTATATGGCATTCCTGTATACAAGATAACAAAAATATCCTGCAAGGTGCAAGAAAATTTCCTGCTAAGATATTTTGTTAAACATTTCCTGGCAGCGGTGCTGCTGGCGCTGCCGGACATTTTCCAGCACTGAAACTCTTAATCACTTTTTTAATCGCTGTTTTGTAGTTAAATAGTGATTAACTCTCAAATACGCGCTTCTTATTGGATGACATTTCCACTAACTATAGTTAACAGTTAATCACTTTTTTATACAACCGGCCCCAGACCCCAGTACTTTTTTGCATGGTATGCGTAGAGTATATTAACATAGTCATAGAATATAAAAAGCAACATGTACATACTAGGCTGTTGCGCAGTTGCGGTATGATTGGAAAATTTCGATTTCGAAAAAAATATCCGACTGTGTAGTTCAATAAATATGCGGGTTTATATACCGCATCACAAACAGCAAAATAAATGGTATACCGCGTCAAAAACAGAAAAAAAGTTGCGTGAAACTAATCGAATACCAGAAGTTTATCTAATACTACAATATGGTCATTTATGAATGTTAAAAACTTCAACATTTATTTACTATTTGCGCGTGTTTTCTAGAGTTTACCAGGAAATAATTTCGATAAAACTTTCGATATTTTTTTGGTATTTTCGGTATCCGAAAAATCGAATATTTACACTTATAATTTAATTTTGGTACACATACCATTTTTATCCGTGCTCAGACTACCTACAGTATACTGTATATTATAGATTTACAAAGGCTGAGCATGGATAAATTTGGTATGGGTTCCAATTTTATCTGTGCCATACACCAAAAATTGAGCGTAGTGCAAACAGGACTTAAATAGAGGATCAAGCATCCACTAAATGCTGTTTTAGATTCTAAGGGGCTGTTTACTGTACATTGCATTATCCCGGTTTGCCGGCATGGAAGGTGGGATGATCTTGGTGTATTTAATTCAAACACAAGTTAAAATAACCCAAATGTTGTAGAGAATTAGATCTCACAGTTCAAGAACTTCAAGATTATTATTGCTGCTTGAACAACCTTTCCTTTACAATTATACTATATTCTATTGCTGAAAATTATGTAATTTTGCAGAATCATGCAGTTTGACTTATTTTAATACATCAAAATCATCTGCCTCATACATCTTGTCCCGGTAAAGCAGGATCATGTGAACAGTCCTTAACTGCTTCATAAATTAAAAGAAACAAAATTAAAAATACTGTTTATTTCAAAGGGAACAAATTCATAGCAGTTTTAGTAGTTCTCAATGGTCTAATGGAATCAATAGGGTTCAGGGCTTGAAATAACAGCCGATCACCGATCGGTAAGAAATTGCTTATGATCGGCAGAAAAGCATGGTTTCCAACCTGAAAAAGCAGGGAAAGTCATTACTGCCGATCACCCAGGCCTTAAAATATCGGTCGGTCACGGACATTGTCCGACCCAATCGTGAAATTGTCCGACGTAGAGAGGAAACCACCAGTCTGAGACATTCTGTCTGACCAAAGTGAGCGGTGAGGTTTATTTTTGTCCGACCTGAGCGTATTTGTGTCCGACCAAAATGTAGCTTTGTCCAACGTAAATCAAAATGTACCCTATCTCAGGCTCGTATGTTAAATGGAAAATCAGAGTACTATTGTATAAAAGGTGAACTGGAAATTTGTTTTAACGTAGTTAATAGTCGAGCGCGGGGCAGGGAGCGAAATGCATGGTAAAGTGGAAAACGGGCTTAAGTTGTCTAAGTCTTTTACTCTGCTGTTCTGGAAAGCAAGTTAATTTTGGCTTGGAAATAAGTATGAAAGAAACAAATTATTTGATATCTTCACAAACATTTACCGTTCAGAATTAATACATTCTGCTGATATTCATTTATGTCGGCATTCATAGGGGTTTCAGAATGATTTGAAGTAAGCGGTTGTACCAAAAGTAAGCGGTTGTAGCCGGCTGACACTGATAGTTAAAAAAACGCGCAGGGAGGGGGGAGGGGCGTGCCCTCGCATGGAAACTCAAAACCGGGTAACAATTTTTACGCGCAGGTCGCGGAAACTGATTAACAAAATGAAAGAACTTCCAAAATGACTTGACGTGAGCAGTTGCTCACGCCATATCAGGCCATTGCGCGTGTTCTATAGCGTTTTATATCAATTGCTGACGTCATTAGAATTTTCCATTTTAGAAAAACAATGCGCTATATCTCTTTATTTTGTCTGGTGACCTATGTTCAAATTTTGCATGCAGTATTGCCACAGGGGGCCCCACTATGAGTTATGACTGAAATAATATTGTATTTATTTTTAAAAACTTACTTGAATCCCTTGATAATCGATTATTTCTTCTCTCGAAATTCTGTAAACATTTTAAACTGCTTGGAGTCATTATACTATCGATCATCTATACTTCATGTAGAGTGATAGTATAATGACTCCAAGCAGTTTAAAATGTTTACAGAATTTCGAGAGAAGAAATAATCGATTATCAAGGGATTCAAGTACAGGTTTTTAAAAATAAATACAATATTATTTCAATCATAACTCATAGTGGGGCCCCCTGTGGTATTGCATCGCTAAAAACTTTCATCCTACAAAAAATAAAAAAATTCTGTAATGCCAAAAAAAATTTACAGAAGAATATGACATTTTCGCATTTTCCAAAAAAATGGCATTACAGAATTTTTTTATTTTTTGCTAATTGTTAGCTTTTCGTCTAAGTAAAATAATGCAAGAAAAAAAATTGGGGGTCACCAAGCTTTTTTCCCAACTATACGAGAAGAGAGGCCATTTTGGAGTGAATTTCGTACACGTATGTCGTCATAGCAACGAACTATCTGTTACTATAACTAGTATAATTTGAAAGTAGAGATATCAAAATATATAAAAAACCCAATATCTGCCGAATAAATCCTAAAAATGCGTAGTTTGAACATGTCAAAGTGTTAAACACCTGAATTTCTGAAAACTGTATCGAGCCACCTTAATGTGCTACTTGTAGTTTAATCACGAATCAAAGTGTTTGCTGTCCGGAAAATGAAGATGCAATTTACAAACAAAAATATGCATATCTACGCACAGACATATTACAGTAGCTGAGTAGCATGCAGTGCTGTAGGAAGCTCTTTTTGATTAGGGGCTGAGAACGAGGGCCGAAGGCTCGAGGAAATTTTTTAATTTAGAGTCTCTGAAATTCCATTTCCTGGACTTTGGGGAAGTTTAGAACAGAATTCTGATGGTCAGAAAACAGCGTTTTTAATTAGTATGTCGAAATTTACAATTTGTTTACAATTTAGTAGTACTAAATGGGCGAAGGCGTATGTAATTAACTATATATTGCATGGAGACATGGGCGTACCGGAAGGAAAAAATTAGGGGGGCGGAAAGAAAATTGCCCAACTTTTCGAATTCTGCCCGACTAGTATCAAAAAATCCCCCCCCCCTGTCGCCAAAAAAATTTCGGTCAGTGTACCATTTTAGGGGTCAAAAAATTTTTCCGGACAACCAATTTTTTTCGGAACATAACACAAATTTTCGAAAAATCGCAAAATTTGCCAAAAAATTGACTTAATTTTAGACAAAATTGACAGAATTTGTCCCATTTTTTTATTGCAAGCCAAAATTGCCCGACTGTTGATCGAATATTGCCCGACTGCCCAAAAAACTGGGGGGGCTACCGCCCCCCCCCCGCCCGGTACGCCTATGCATGGAGAAGTTGCAGGAAAGTATGGGTAATATCATGATTCTTTGCAGTTTGTCATGGATAATGTAGCCGCTTAAAATTAATCAATTGTCAGTATTTTAAAGGTATATTATTTAAATGATAAAGGTATGCATGCATATTTACCGATTTACGATTTGTTAAATGTTAATATCCATGTAAATGCTATGCCGGATTTCGTAAATCAGTTTATACTGACAATACAATTATTATATTTTCTCTGTTTAACAACTAAAAGTTTGTTATACTATTATTGCCGTAATTTTCCAAATGGCCAACCAGATTTTCGGAATATGTTAATTCTAAAAAAGTTGGGGGGGGGGGCTAAACCCCCCTCGCTACGGCCCAGAATTTTTTACTTCATCACATTATCATTATAATTAATTCGTTGTCAAAGAATTAGTCACTTAGTTGCCAAAAACATTTACCAAAGTGGCTCTGAAGGTTCTCTGGCTCACTGTCAAATTTGGATTCCCCAATGGCAATTAATGCTTAAGTCACTGTCAGAGTCAATCAGAGTTATCTTAGTCTTAGTCTTGGAAAGCAAGCTATGTTTGGTACTATATATTATTGATCTTATTGATCTTCCAAAATAAGTGATGTTTTGCTTGAATTCCAATTGGAATATAACAAACATCGTGTTGGTTTGCTTGTACCTTTGTATATAAGTTTTCCCTGTGACCAGACGAAAAGTAGCCAGCGGTAAAAGTTCAAGTAGCCGGCGGAACTCCGCCGGTCGCCGGCTTATTCTGAAACCCCTGTATTCAGACTAATTATTTCCGAGTCAAAACTGAACTGAAGGTCATCTGATATATGTCCGACCCAAACTCAACGTCATCGGACATTTTGTCAGACGGCCCTGTAAAATACATTTTAAGGCCTGTGATCACCATGATCGGGAACTTTGGGAACGTTATTTCAAGCCCTGAGGCCCGCTGAGGGTTGATAATTTTTGCCCGAAATTTAAATTAACAATTAGCCATGGTGGAAAGTTGGGGTGTTGCAACAAATATATTCGGCATACAAGAAGGATATGTTTTTACATCAGTTTGGCACACACCAAACTGATTTCTAGAAGAAACAATACGTTGTATTATATTTATGTTTATCAGTTGTGCAAATATTACATATGCATCAACTTGGCATAAATATTTAATACTTGTCCCTAGGGAAATGGTAATGTTATTCTGTGTTTGCCCCACTTGGTAAGATGAAGAAAAGGCGTATTATGTAACAGGAAGCCCCACAAAACATGAAGAGGCCCAAGGGATGTATAAAAGGGAAAGCTATATTTATTATTAGTATTAATAATATTTCATAAAGAAACATTTCTACAGTATTAATAATTTGATGTCACACAGTGGCCAAATCTATTACTTATCTATACTATAAAAAACTCATATGTACTGGAAAATACAGTATGTGTCTGGTATCTCAGACATTCGATTATAAATTAATAATCTTAGCACATCTAGACATTCTCGCTCATTAAATTTACTCACCAAAGATCAGAAATATACCTGACGACACTACCAGGAAAAGAAACAATCTTCCTTTCAGTAAAAATACAAAAAATATAAAACAGTTTTTCTTGCAAGTTTTCTTGACCGAGGAACGTTGTGTTTTTCAATTTCAAAATTTCCGCTTTTTCCCAGCTGGCATTGCGAACGAAACAGTAGCCCGCGCATGCCAAAATAGTTTGGCCAGTTAATTTTGTAGCATAAAGAAATACTTGGTGTTATATATAAACTTGGCACAGAATATATTTCACTTGTCGAGTGTTTTCCAATCGTATAAATTTAGTAAATTTAACCATTGAATTTAACCAAGTCAAATTGCAAGTTTTAAAACCATGTTGACGGTAAGAGAAGATTTCTTTAATTTAAAGATGTTTAATTTAATTTTGGTTTGCAAAACTTTATGGTTATTTACGATCGCAGATCGCGCTACTTGATCGATAGTCGATACTTGATTGTGTCACACTGACCACTGTCACTTTCATGTAGCAATTATCTTGTTTCAGTCTATCAGAAAGTCATTTCTGTACTTCACATCCCAACTTTAATCGTATCATCATTTCCATATATTCATATAACGGTTATGATTATTATTATTCATAATACTAGCAGGATTGCTTGAATTAATTTGGTGTTCATAGTATACAGTGTATTTGCATGTTTGGATTTAATATTTTTGGTATTAATACACCAGTCAAAGTAAACCCCGACCCCCATCCCGAGATATAGGTGGAGATTGGCTTGGAATAGGGTACCAAAACAGACAAATGCCCCACCATATGGGACAAAATTTTCTAATAAAAGACAAAAAATGCCCCTCCCCTGGGCATTTTGTAAGTTGTGTGTCACTGAGTGAATTTATCTCCTCAAGCTTTCCACAAGTCGAGCTTTCCACAAGAACAGATTCCATGGATGGATGGATATAATAACATATAGATTGAAAAGGAATGAATATATTTATAAAATACCTCTCGATTTCACTTCCTTCTTGCGAGCATGCCATCTTGACCTTTGTCACATGGTATAAAATGGTAGAATCTGGGGATTCCATTCCAACATAATTTTGCAGAATGACAAAACCAACAAATTCCCAACATGGTTGGGACAGAATTTGATGACAAAAAGGCCACTAAATCCTCACCAAATCCCCTCATGATCTGGGGTGGGGGGTCGGGTTTACTTTGACTGGTGCATAATCTACACCCAGAATGCGAGAAGCTTTGCAACCATGCGTCAAAGATATATCAGTTCAAGCAATTGCTAATGAATCTACTGTATGTTAAATATCAGTCGTCATAATGTTAAAATTAATGCACCAGTGAAAGTAAACCCAACCCCATTAGAGACGAGAATTAGGTACTTTTGTTTCTGATCAGAGCAAATGCCCTGCTATGGGGAGCTCCTTAAATTATCTAATGCCCTGCCCTGGTTACTAATTTATAAAATTGTGCAATGCAGTAGAGCCCATTTTCCACAAGGCAAATTTGTTCGTGCGAACAGTAAAAAAGTAGGAACTGATCCAACTTTTTCACAGCAAATTTTTTTGCTGACCAAGATCACATTGCCAAGATTTGTTTTCACTTTGTTTCATGCAAACAAATTCACCTAGTGAAAAATGGGCTTAAAAAAACCTAAGTATTGAGAAATCTGAAATTATTTGTTACCTGGCTCTAATCAGGACAACATGAACTAAAAAATCTAAAATTGAACTTATTGTATAAAGATTTATTTGAACAACAACTCATATGAGTTGTTTGAACAACAACTCATATGTTCAGGTTGTGACCTTGTCCCTGAAGCACACATATTTCAATTATCAAAATCAATGTTTTAGATAAAAAAGTCCCGATGAGATAGCCTATCAACACTAGCCGTCAAGCCCTAGAATTGGTCTCCACTTGCATTTCAACCAAGTGTTTACTCAGATTGAGCATGCCGAATCATGAAAAAATTATTATTTTCAAATTTGAAAATATCCCATATTCACCATTGGTATTAGAGATTATATTAGCTTACCATTCATACATCAAATGAAAAATGCAAATCAAAATTTATAGCTATAAGAAAAGAAAGAGTAAATGAACTTGTTAATTTTTTAATTAAACTGTTATACAGTGTAAATGTATTTTCATGATTCTTTTGACATACAGAAGAAGAAATATTTGAAATGTAAATTATGTGAAGATATTTTCTCTCGAAAGTCCCTAATCATGTTGGGATCAACTTCCTGTGGTCAAAAAGTGGTTGGTGGTATTTCTTATGAATGATCAAATCCCTGCTAAAACCAATGCTAATGCTGAATGACATTCTAAACTAAAGCAAAGCCCTGCTGATAAGGGCAGGAATAAACTGCTAATGCCTGGATAATCCCATCATAGGGGATGGTGTTTACATTGACTTGTGCATTATTTTTAAGACCATTAGAATTCTCTCAACATTTTGGGCATATTTTTTGTCAATTGTTTCTCATCCTGGCTAGTCTAGATCCTGGCATGTGATTTCAGGATCTTAGCTAAATTGCCCAATACATGTTAAATAAATCTATTTACTCAGTTGTGCACTTCTACAATGCATGCATGGTTATAACAGTCTAGTATGCAGATTTCTTGTATTCCAGCATCTCACCACCCTCTGCAAAGATTCTGGGGCCAGTTTGTGATTGGTGGAATATATAATTCTGTTTTGTACAGTAATTAGTCAATTAGATGTTACAGCATTTTTAAATTATATCTTGTTATGTACAGTATGCATATTTACAGGTTGTTGATGGTAATACATCATTGTATGTCATATTTATCTTATCAAAATGCATTTAGTACACAATGGCCGCATTAATATAACACAAATTTCTTTAAAAAAAATACAAGATAAATATGATGTACAATGAGGTAATTAACTGCCATTTTTACAGGAAATGATGTTGCTGCAGCTTTATTAAGTATGTGAAATCGGAAATCTTATGGCACAGCCAAGGTAAAATTTACTGAAGATACTATATTTTCTTGACTTAATACAGGGTTTGTACGCCCCCTGGAAATCCTGGAAAACCCTGGATTTTTATTTTACTCCTGAGAAACCCTTGAAAACCCTGGAATTTCAAATTTATCCCTGGAAAAACCTGGAAAACTGAGAAACTGAGCTGGGTATAGGATCATACCTAAACTATTTAAGACTATCTTAAAAAGAAAGATTGAACAAAAGGTTCTTGCATTATATACTGTATAGTCAAACTATGAATATATTTCGTTCAAACTGGTACAAACCCAAAAGTATCTGTGCAAGATGAAGTACTAGCCGTCACGAACGTTTCTTATCTGTTAAACACTTATAGATTTATATTTCAAAAGCCCCTGGAAAAAGGATGAAAAAAGTCCTGGAAAACCCTGGATTTTTTAAATTATGAAGGTGTACGAACCCTGTTAATACTTCACCTGTGCACTGTATTTTTATTGTTTAATTATAATAACATTCAAAATAAATTTTATATATACTGGTATTATACTTCTATCCAGAACCAATCCACCGCCAGTTCCTCCCAGGGTTGATTTAGGAGAAACAGAGGAAAGTGAACTTGATAGGTAAGCATGTACAGGATTGTACTGTATACTGACTGAATTTCCAACAAATAGAGGAACTACAAGTATTGGACAAATTTCATTAAAAATTTGATCATGAATTGCAGACAAATTCACCATTCCAGAAACTACTGTATTTTACATTGGTCATACATCTCTTTCATGATTGAGGTTTAGGGCATTTTATAATCCATAATTTTATAAATGTTTGTGTATGCATTTATCCACTCCATAAATATCATAAACTGCATGCCATCATTAATATGGTACAGTAACTGTAAGTCTGTAGCAATGTTGCAAGACAGGATTTTTCATGTTTTGTTTTAAAAATTAGCACGATGTATTTATTTGCCTGGCTATTAGTCCGTACTGCAATGCATCTAAGACTTAGCGTATATATCTACCAGTCCTAATGCATCAGTAAATTATGGTTCAGGTTGTACTTAACTTTAATTTCTATATGGTGACGTAGATATATAATTAAATCTTACACGGCTTAATGCAGCAAGAAATAGTGGAGAAGTGCTGTCTATATTGCTTTCTTGTTTGTTTCATTAATAAAAATGTGTTAAATAAACAATTGTTTGAGATTGGAGATTTGACTAGCCTAAATCGGTCGGTCACATGTTCGGTCATAAAAAGCTTTGATCAGACAAAAGATAAAATTTGGCCGGACAATGTCCGATGACCGGCACTAATTTGCAGGCCGGCAAGGCGATGCGTTATCCGTAATAATCTAGAGTCTAGAGACTGAGGCTAATATTGATGTAAACTTATATAGCAGACCGCTAACCGCGCAAACGGAAAACTTCAAATCGCAATTGGAGATAAGTAATTCTACATGTTTTCTGCAGCTAAGTATGTTATGTTATAGTATTTTTAAATTATATCTTATTATGTACAGTATGCATATTTAATTGTATGCACATCTAATTCGTGCTTCAATTTCAATGGAAATTACCCTATGAACTAGCTTGAAGTGACTTCAAATAGCTAACAGTTAGCTCAAGTTTGCTGTTTCCGGTTTGCAGTCTGCCCTAAACGTCAATCTTACCCTCTCTAATTGACCTTAGAAGTCCTTACGTCACGTCACTGTCAGACAATGGATATTTGACCCATATGTATCCCACACTTCTAAGGGTTATTGGAATGATCATATTTATAGCCAAGAACATGTTGCAGTCAGCGCACAACCTCCAACAGATTTTAATGGTCCTGAAATTGCTAAACCTGAACCAGTTGAACATCCAAAAATTGACAAACCTGTCGTTACTCCTAAATCTTCCTCAAGCATGCCACCAAGTCCAAATGCATCAAAACCTATTAATATTGCACCTCTTCCTGTTGGCAAGTCGACCAAACCAGTGCCGAAGAAAGAAGCAAAGTAAGTTTTAAAATTTTACTTGTACGTTTTGTACATTATCTGTACCAACCTCGTTCATATATTAAACATGCTTGTGTCTTGAAATATGTGTTTCGAGTAATTCAAGTTAGAATCTCGTTCGAGTCAGCAGCAACATAAGAATAACAACAAAAACAAGAATACAACAACAAAAACAACAATTATGACAGCACCAACAACAACATAATCATCATTAACAACAACGACAAAAAAGTACAAGAAAGAGAACTACAGTACAGATACAACCTCGTACCCTTGGTCTTGGCAAGGGGAGAAAAGACCCTGGTGCCATGGGAGAAAAGACGCTGGTCACGTGATATGCTAAAATTTAGCAGATTTCTAATTAACTATCTTGGATTCCTCTACGACAATCATACAAAATGCAAATTATAAATTAAACTATAAAAATCATCCAAATATCAAATATTTATTGACCTTATCTTGAATTGTTAATTAAAAATCTGCTAGGTTTTAGCAGATCACGTGACCAGCGTGCCAGGGCGAAGCAAGCTTCAATCCCATGGCACCGGGGTTTTTTGTCCCCTTGCCAAGAGGAAAGACTCTGGGTACGAGGTTGTATCTGTACTGTAGTTCTCTTTCTTGTACTTTTTTGTCGTTGTTGTTAATGATGATTATGTTGTTGTTGTTGTTGTTGTTGTTGTTGTTGTTGTTGTTGTTGTTGTTGTTGTTGTTGTTGTTGTTGTTGTTGTTGTTGTTGTTGTTGTTGTTGTCGTATTCTTGTTTTTGTTGTTATTCTTATGTTGCAGCTGACTCGAACGAGATTCTAACTTGAATTACTCGAAACACATATTTCAAGACACAAGCATGTTTATGAATTTTTAAGTCAGTCTCAGTCTTTCGTTTGGACGAACGGTTCTCCAGAATTTCGAAGATGTGAGTTGAAAATCTATCCTACACCCGACAACTATATTTTCATTGTCCTCTGCAGTGTCAGAATACGTATTAAGATATATTCTGAGCATATATATAGTTAGAATAGTCAACAAACGTTATCCTAATGTGTCTCATAAATATTTTGGTTCTCATGCATAAAATCAAAGTGACGGTTTCTCGATAGGGAGTACGTGTATATTAAATTGTAAATGGAAATTATTTCCATCAAGGGGTTATCTCCACCTACTATTTAATTATATAGTCCGTTGTTGCTATTCTCAAGTCAGCTGCTGCCTGCTGAAAAATTACAAACAATTAATTTGAAAATATTACTCGCAAATTCTTATCAAACAATTCAACACTTCCAAACGTTTACTTAATATTTTATTTTACGTATACAGAAGTCGTCCTACAATCAGCATAATCTCTGCCCGTCCAATGGATCAAACTAGTTCTCTTTCTTCGGTTCAATTCAAAAATGATAAGGCTGAACTAACTACACAAGAAGGTAACGTCAACAATAATCAACAGTCGGCTAACGCTGAGGTCACTGCTCAGGTCCCTACACGGCTCAATAAACCCAGCAAACCTGCGCCACTCGCGCCAAGGAAGTCGCCTCCTAAACTTGAAGACAGGAACCCAAAGTCTGTTGACACGTCCAAAAAAATGGCACCCGTGCCAAATTTGAGATCCAAAACTAAGACTTCTAAGAAAAATTCTGGTTCGGTATTTTATATTGATACATCGTCAGATAGTGCTATGGACACAAAATCTTCATCCACACCTACCATTGATAATTCGTCTAATGAAACTGTACAAAAACCAAAGCAAGTGACTTCTCAGTCGAATCTTAAATCGAAACCTACCTTGCCAGCACCAAGGAAACACAAAACAAAAAACGAACAACAAAAAGCTAGCGATATAGATCCGGTTATAAACACTAAAGCTAAACCACCTGAAAAAGCTGTGTCAAAACCTAAACTAAAACCTACGATTATCACTGCCAAAACACCGAAACAGCGAGACAAAACCGATGAAGTGAAAATCTCTTTATCAAAAAATGTGAACACATCAAGCATAACAAAAACTGCGGATGATGATCGTCCTAGTCGTCCCAGTTTTCCACCGAGTGCTACTACAGATGAATTAAACAAAAATGAAAGCCAACCTGAAAGACCCAAAGCACCACCAAATACAATCAAAGAAAAGGAAAGAGATGTAGAAATGAAACGGGAACAAAAGAAGGGTGAAAAAAATGTACAGCCTGAGAAAAAACGACCAAAATCAAAACCTACTAGACCACCTATGACCAAGAAGCCTTCAAGACCTGCTCCAGCAAAACCAAAAGTTACAAGGTACATATTAGTTTGATTTCTTCTCATCAGAAGTATGTGCGAATATGTATTTGCATGTGTTTCGAAATGGTCTAGAGTTGCGAATTGTCGCTAAAAATTGTCCCGTAGGACATCGCATAAATTGATTTTCCCATTGAGCTATATAGGTGTGATAAGTCAGGGGAAGAAATTGAAGCTTTGCTTTGTAGGTACCCTTCCTACAAATTTTGTTGGGCAACGCAACTACATTCTGCGTACGTTATGTTTGAAAGATTTGCCTATACCAGTTTAAATGTGTTTTTCATCTGAGTCCGTGTTTGCTTACAAAAATAATTCATAGTTTTTACCCGTGTGTAAACACACTGTGAATTTAGGGTGTGTTCTGTGTCACGTTCGCGTAGTGGAATTAAAGCTCTCTCTATTAGATTTGGACATATAGTATTGCATGACCCAATAAATACGTGTGTATCATTGGACGGAAATAAAAAAATGTGTGTAAAAACAGAATCTCTGCATGCATGTGTAAAAAAAATCTAATGTGCATGTGCATGTAAAACTTTTGTTCTTGCAGAGGTGCACGCTTTAATTATGTTTCTAAATTCTAAAAATATGCCTAGTATAATATCGTTTACTATATAGTATACAACATAGTCATAATTTACAGAATTTAATTTTCTAATGTGTTTCTGTACAGAAAGACATCTTCAAAAACGAACGATGTGTCCAATAGCGAAAAGACAACCACTGATAAATCTGGTTTGGCCCAGCTATCTGGTCCACCTCGTGCTCAGGCCAAGTTTGACTATACTGGAGGAACAGATGATGACCTCACTTTCAAGGTGAGTACATGGAAGTTCTATAATAATGTATAATAATAATCTATCTATCTATTTATCTATATCTATCTATCTATCTATCTATATATATATATATATATATATATATATATATATATATATATATATATATATATATATATATATATATATATATATATATATATATATATATATATATATATATATATATGGTAGTGTCAAATTGGAAAAACTATATTAAGTTCAGCAAGGGCGGATTTAGCAGGTTTTCCATGGGGTAGTGCATGAGGGAACCTTACTGCCCACTTTCCTCATGCTACCAAGACGAATTTATAGCCAGATAACATGCTTATAATTTCAATTCAGTACATTAAAATTAATAGAAACCGAACGCAGAAGCGGTGAAACGGACCATGTGACTAACATCTAACTCACTGAGTCGATGACCACTTTGTCAAAAGCGTGATTACGATGAATAGTTAATTCAAAATGGTTCAAGTGTCATGAAAAAATAAAACGACAATTTGTTTCATTTTTGTCTAACATAAACATAATTTTTTCGTGTTTCAGGAATATTCATATAATATATATAGACTAATATAGTTTCACTATAAGACGATGTCAATACTGTATGACTGTATCCATGATAGAGTACGGTTTTAAAGTGAAAACAAGTTCATTCAAAATTCATCCGAAAATTGCATTTATCGCGTGTTCATCCGAAAATTGCATTATATTGTTTATGTTATACATGTTTATGTTATACTGTACGTGCAGTTGTCTGATAACTTGAAATAACTTTGACGGTGTCGAACAGTATTAACATCATGTTACTGAAAGTCTGGAAGCAAGTTAGGAAATCACGATTTCGCTTGCGTATGAAGGCCAGTTCAAACCAGTCCAGCATTTTGCTACAAGATTATCCAACTTTGTTGGGACTGTTTGAACATTTTGTTTAGTAATGTTTGCTGACATTATAGATCAGGTTTGACTTCGGACCATCAATGCTGGACAGTCACTGCATAATAAAGTAACCATATAGGCCTAAGAATTTTATTACCCTTATATTTTAGGCTGGTGATACAATAATGCTGACAAGTAAGGTTGACGATGATTGGCTAGTTGGCTATCTTGAGAAAAATGTTATGCATCAAGGATTGTTTCCATGGAGTTTTGTTGAGATTATTGTTGCTTTGAAGGAGCAGCCTAACGAAAAACCGGTATACTTTATTACTTTCCACTCAACATATAGTATATTATTCAGAAACATACCCTTAAATTTACTGCTGCGCATGTGCACATGGTGCAGTTTGAAAAAGTTTGTGTAGAAAATCTGTAAATTTTATCAATTAAAGAGGCTGTCAAGTCCGTTCTGCTCATGCGCGTGTTTTGTGTACATTTTTGTTTCAAACAATAGATAATTTAATTACAATTCCGATCTGTGGGCCCACAACAGGGTCTTAGCTAGAAGGCCGTGTTGGCCGTGTTATCGCGGCCAAAATGTAAAAACACGGCTAGATGAAATGAACGCGGCTTCAGTATTTATTTTTGGCCGTGCATGTAGGTTCATAAAATAAGGTGTTTCTACTTACAACATACATAATTTCTTTGTAAAATCTACTGTAGTTGTTGAAATTGCTAAAAGTGATCCGTGATGTTTTAATGTTTTGATGGATAATGGGCACCGTATGGTTGTTAAAATGTCTTTAAATGCCCCAAGGGTTGCTAAAATAATTTATTATAATGTCAGTGCGAAATATTAGCGTATGCTCGCCTCATATTTGGTTGAAAAGCATAGAACAACCACAGGTATAGTCTATTGTTAACAAGCATAACTGGAATCGTGTTTTAAAGGCTATTCAAGGCAATTGACATGCACATGGGCACACCCTGAAAATTTAGAAACACGCTGGCCCACAAGTTAGCTCATTACGCATTCAGAATATATCACGAGGAAAAATTGAACTACTAAAGCAACAATATAATTTAGCCCCAAAACAAGAAATTTTAAATGGAAAATGCTAAGAAGCACTTCTTACAGAGGTCTGGACAAAATTTAACTGCAATTTGTACAAATTTTGTCCATACCTTTGTATTTCAATCTTAAATTTGTCGTTTTGGAGCTAAATGTATACAAATTTCAATCAAATTTTGTCCATACCTCTGTAAGAAGTGCTTCTTAGCGTTTTCGATTTAAAGTTTCTTTGCTTTAGTAGTTCAATTTTTCCTTCGTGATATATTCTGAATGCGTAATGAGCTAACTTGGGGGCCCACAGATCGAAATTTTAATTAAATTATCTATTGTTTGAAACAAAAGTGTAAACAAAACACGCGCATGAGCAGAACGGACTTGACAGCCTCTTTAAATAACATCACTCAAAGTTATTTTATACCTTTTCATAAGGAATCCCACATTCAAACTACCGTGCAGTATGTTTACCATGTTAATTTCAAACTTCTTTCTATTAAAATTCCTCCTGAACCGTTCCAGTAGCAAAATTGTCATCTTTACCAAACCAAATGTATCCATCATTTCTTAATATACTGTACAAAATGCCCTCATCTTTATTGCTATTCCCGAATGAGTATTCAACGGCATCTAATATTCTTGTTTTGATATTTCGTTTTAACGAATGCCTTCATTGCTTTGACAATAGAGACGTCAACTGTTAGTTGGCCATTAGGGCGTAGACTACTGTAAATGTTAATACTTAGTTACAATCAGTTAGGAAAACCGTATAATTTATTGTTCTGTGTTTATGTAGAATAGAAAAGAAGTTCCTTCGGAGCCCTATGCCACTGCACTTAATGATTTTCAAGGACAAAGTGAAGCAGAATTATCATTTTCATCAGGAGAAACGATCATTTTACTGGAAAGAATTAATGACGAGTGGTTAAAGGGCAAGTCAAATAACTCAATTGGAATATTTCCTGCAAATTTTGTAGAAATAAAACATGATTTACCAGCAATAACAAATCAGACTCGTGTTGTGACGCCAGAACAGACTGACAATAGTCTTAAGACAAACGCCAGCAGTGAAGAATGGTGCCAAGCTATTCACGACTACCAAGGAGAACATACTGATGACTTAAGTTTTGTTGTTGGAACAAAAATTAAGATCGTAGAAAGAGTAAGCCAAGACTGGTTTAAAGGAGAGCATTCTGGGAAATCTGGAATATTTCCAGCTTCTTTTGTAGAAGTTATCGGTGAGGCTAGCAAAACATCACAAGGTTAGTCACTATTTGTTACTAAGATATTACTATACGGATCAATGTTCAGGTATGCACCCTTTAGGTATGCACCTGACGACCAGTGACCACGTTGGCCGAACATCTTATTTTGTCCAAGATGGACTACGGTGATCTTGTTTTTAACCCTCTCCCCTACTACTTTTAAGTAGGCTGCAAAAGATCCAGTTTTCGGCAGCTTTAGCTTTGTTACCGGAAAATATGTGAACTTTACGGAAACTCAATTAAAGCTTAACTGGCTGCCGATGCGTGAACGTAGAGATTTCAACCTACTCAAAGCCACCCATAAAGCAATTTATTCACAGAACGGGCCGAAGTATCCAGCAGTTGAACTATATAAACCAGCTCGCGCAGCCTGCCTGCGCTCGTGTACCAGCTTAAATTTGGTTAGGCCCATGGAAAAGGGTACTTTCCAAGACATTTCATCCGAACTGTTCAATAGCCTACCATCTGACATTAGATCTATATCAGACTACAGTCAATTCTGTACGAAAGTTAGGGCCGTACTAAAGTCGCGTATAATGTAAATATGCACTGCCAATAACATTTTTATATAAATATTCATTTACTATATTACCTATGTTTGTATATATATTTACTCTTAGCTAAAATTTTTGTATGTAGTTTCAATAGAGGAAGAGCCACCTCGTGGATCTTATTGAATAAATTATTATTTATTACCTCGTTCAGTTCGAAGAAGCAGTTTTAGTAAGTACAGATTAAAAAGACAATCATATACCCCAAACTCAGAAGTACTAAGTACATGATTAAGAGACTGATTGCAGAGACTGATTAAGGTACGGAGGTATTGTGCTTGGTACAGATATATTAAGGTACAGAGGTACTGTGCTTGGTAAGGTATACAGAGGTACTGTACAGAAAGAGGTACACTAGGGTACAGAGTAGAGAGATGGGTTTTTTTATCAAGAATTAAGCTAATTCAATGGTGTTATTGATACAGAGATTTAGCGACAGTGAAACCCAAGCTTCATCGTTCGATTGCTAAAAAGTGAAGAGGTGATATTTATGAACTGCGCATGCGTATCAAGCTTATATCTCAGAAAACGTCTGAGCCTTGACAGGAATTTAGATATTCTTTGTGTATACCATGGCCATGTTGACATCATTGGTGGGAACCATATGCGTTATGGCATCGCCACCGTGTTAGATGAAGTGGAGAAAGGATTACTTGTTTGCACTTCTAATTCCATCTATTCCTCTGTTCTTTTATTTCTTGGAGATTGGTTGCATGCGATTTATAGGAACGATAAAGTGCTTTTGTCGTAGTTTCGTTTTTAGTCGTTCGTGCATGAGCTAACAGTACAGTACAGTATAGTACAGTACAGTACAGTACAGTACAGTACAGTACAGTACAGTATAGTATAATTACAGTATAATTACAGTACAGTACAGTGCAGTACAGTACAGCGGCAAATTAAAAAATTGTAAACCTTCGAACTAAATCTGTAATTAATTAAGAATAAATTATTCATTATTTTATATATTTTATTTTTTCTAGATTTCTCTTTAGTAACGGCTGTACATGATTATCCTGGTGAAAGTGCTGATGATCTGTCATTTAAAACTGGTGATAAAATCAAAGTTATTGAACGTATCAACTCGGATTGGCTTATGGGAGAATTTAATGGAAAACAAGGATTGTTTCCTGCTTCGTTTGTAGAAGGTCTACAGTCTGAATCTTCATCAGTAATTCAAACTTCTGACAAGGAAAAAGAACAAACTAAGGTTTGTTACAGTGAAAATACAAAAAGTGTCCCACTTCCGCTTCTGTAGTTTGTTGTGATTTACTGTAATTTGTTCTGTTTTTCTGTAGAGATTACCGATTTATCGGCAAATACCGCGATAAAACTTAGTTTTTTCTGTTTTTAAATATGATAATTTGTAGCAAAGGGAAATAATAAATTTTTCGTGAGTTTCATTGCATAAAAGGAACGAAATTTAAATTTTATCAGTAGATCTTCTGAGACCAATTGCACTAACAAGTACCTTGTCCAAAGTCCAAGAGTCATACGCCACCAAATGGATTTATGAAGATGTTCGGGAAAAAATTAGTGAATTCCAGTTTGGCGGCCTTCCTGGTACATCTGCAGTTCAAGCCTTGATCTACTTACTGCATAAATGGCACTCGCAATGCACACTCCAGGAAAGGTCATTAGAATCGTTTTTCTTGATTTTCGGAAGGCGTTTGATCTTGTAGATCACAACAAGCTTCTTGAGACCTTCACTGGAATCGGTGTACGGCCCGCATTAGTGGGTTGGTTTGCGTCCTATCTACATGGCAGATCGCAATTTACATCATTTCAAGGTGAGCAATCAGACCTGCGAAAGATCAGGGGTGGAGTCCCACAGGGTAGCAAGCTGGGTCCAATAGCATTTATCCTAAAAATTAACCATCTCCCACAAGTCGCTATACCTAATGAGCAGGAACAGATATGTGAAGCATCTGATGATCAAGATATAGCTATGTTCGTTGATGATAGTACATTGTCCGAAGTCATTACCATAACTCAACATTCATCTGGTAGCCCAATTGGTCACACCCAACGAAGTGTAAATAACGTAGTGCAATTTGCAAAGGATGAGAGTATGGAACTGAATGGAAAAAAATGTAAAGAAATGCTAATTGATTTTCAGAAGAAGAAAACAGAAATACCACTGATTAATATTGGCGACGATAAAATATCCCGTGTAAAGTCGTATAAATTGTTAGGAATATGGATAGACGATGACATGAGATGGAAAACCAACACTGAGTATATTGTAAAAAAAGGCGCTAAGCGACTTTACCACTTGAAGATTTTAAAGAGTTATGGTGCAAGAAAAAATGACCTATTAGCTTTCTATTGTACAGTAATTCGTTCTGTTCTGGAGTATGGTGCACAAATCTGGAGTGGTGGTCTGACACAAATGCATAAGAAAAACATAGAAAGAATCCAAAAACGAGCCCTCCGAATAATTTATCCTGGCCTTTGTGATTATGGACTTCTATTATCTCAGAGCAATCTGCTGACCTTAGAAGAACGCAGAAATAATTTATGTGCCTCCTTAATTGAGAACATGTTACAACCATCACACAGACTTCACGGACTATTGCCAAAGAAACTGAGTGACATCAGGGAAAGAGAGACTAGGACAAATGGTGAAAAGATTTATAACTTTTTTTGCAACACTGAACGTTTTAGAAACAGCCCTGTAGTTCATGCTATTAATGAATATAATTTTAAATTAGAAAAGTAAGATTTATTTACATTTTTATACAATTCCATATATATATATATATATATATATATATATATATATATATATATATATATAAACGATTTTAATATACATATAGGTCCATTGATGTAAATAGTTTTAAATAAGTAATAATTCTAATTAATTCTAATTAATATCTGACGATGTAAACACGTTGTAATTTAGCTTGCTATTGAACGTGTATTAATAAACCCACTATTATTATTATTATAGTATTTGCCGATAAATCGGTAATCGCTACAGAAAAACAGAACAAATTACAGTAAATCACAACAAACTACAGAAGCGGAAGTGGGACACTTTTTGTATTTTCACTGTAAGTTACGACTGTCTGCATGTTATTGGTATAATTTTCTCGTACAAAACGTGTTACAATCGAGAATATGTACGTCGGCTTGATTATTAATTGTTACTCGCACTGTGATTTCGTTGTCCACCTTAACTTTACATCATATTTGAGTTTTATACAATTAAATTAAATATTCAAAGGAAACAGTAAGAAATATCAGTGATTTGGTTAACCAATGGCAGTATTAAATCAATGGAATTCTGAATTCAAATACCTTCAAATATGCGTGAATCATAATTTTGGCCAGTTTTTGACAAATTATATTTGGAATATTTGAAGTCCTTAGAAAATCTTAAGTTCCTAGCCAATCAGAACAACTGCGATTTATAATAATCCTATTTTCATTTGACATATTGTCAATGGCATGATTTTTCATGATGATCGAAGGTCATGAGAATGGTTTTCTTTACTTAATTCTCCTTTTTGACAAAGTTTTGTTTGCAGCTTTTGTAATATATTCAAAACAGCTTGTTTGTGTGGCCAATCGGAACAGACTAATGATGTCAGTGCTAAGTTGTTTGTAATTTGGTATACAACTTCGCAACCCAATTCACTTTGTTTTACATTTCATGTGAAATAGTTTCTGCGCCTAATGCATAAAAATGTGTCAGAGAACACAAAGAAATGGATTTAATAATTATCATATAATAAAAATCCTATAGAATGGTTTGATTTATAATACTGCCGAGCATTTTACCCGTCTCCCTCCCGTAGCCCTTTCGGCGCTCGGAAAAATATATGTGTGGAACCGTTCGATAGTATATATGGAAATAACATTGCTTAGCTGATGAAATTTGCTTTCTTTCAGAACTTCCTCATGGCTAAAGCTATTCATGACTTTAGTGGTGAAAATCCTGGTGAACTACATTTTAGTGTTGGTGACGTAATTCAAGTACTCCGTGAGATTGATAGTAATTGGAGCGAGGGAAGAATTAATGATGTGTCTGGAATGTTTCCAACTGCTTTTGTGGAAATTCAACCTCCAGCATCAAAAGGTATAAAAAGAGTTGAAGATATAACTTCGAGCCAACTTCACTCACATCCATGGAATGTATAGGGCAAAGCTACTGGAAAACATAAAACACGTTCTGCGAGTTTATTGAACACCTGCAAGAACGACGTCCTTTGAGATATATACTGTATTGTACTTAGTTGTCCTGGACACTCGTTAAGCATTGATTGTTTCTTTTGCTTTTGCTCTGTGCATAGTTAATTCAGGGTTTTTTATGCTATATAATTGAGTCTCTTTAAAAGCTTTGTTTCAAAGCAGTCACAATTACCTCAGATTTCGTATCATGCACGTGGCAATACTAGTCATGTTTAAAATGAAATTTATTTTCCAAATAGAAGCTATAACTCGATATCAATATTTGCCTTGAATAAACATTTAAATAACAAACTCTTTCACGAACTACGTAGCTCTGTCTCTCAACAACTAACGATCTCTCTCTACCAGTCTTTGATTACGCATTCATGCGTGAACTTGTTTTTGTATGCAACAGTTACAAACTACTCCGTCAACTAGCCTTAAAAATGTGGTTAATTTTTTAATGTAGACAGCACTTAAACAATATTTACACTTATGCAATGAAAACAATATTTTCAGTGTTTTTAAATATTTAAAAATATTAGTTTTTCCATATGCAGCAAGGATAAGCTATGGAACGTGCATGCAAGCAAATAGACAATATTTATTTATTTAGTATATAATCATGTACATTAACTACTTTTCTCTCTTGTAGAAAAAATGTTGGTATAATTTGCAGTCGTATCTCGTGAAAATCAGTTGAATAGATTCATATTGCTTTTCTTATTAGACGAAGTCTACGCCAAGGCTCTGTATGACTTTGCTGGGGAATCTGAACACGATCTTTCGTTCAAGGTACAGTGCACAATATGCATGCATGCGCAAACATTTTTACAAATTACCAGGTGGAAAAAGTATCAGGTCCTGTAAATTTGTGCCGAAAATATTTCACAGAAACTTTTAGTACATGAGATGCATGTAATTAAATTTTCACTATGTCCCATTTCCAGTACATTTTTTAGTCAGAATCCCATGAATGTTCCCAGATTTAAATTTTTCCATATCTGCAAATTACAAGTTATTTATACGTGATGATGAAGGTGTAGTACTGTTAATGACAATGTTCCACATCACATCCATGCTCACCTTATAACGTTGCTCGCTAAAGGTTGATTCCTGCCTTTGTGAGAGATTCTATTACATTTCACTTGTTCAACTTTCTTCGAGCATTCGTTGCATTACTTTAATGCAACATTACAACACAAACATAGCCATCGTTATCTTAATTGTTGGCGTAGTTTTGCGTGTAAATTTGTTACCAACGCTGCAGCTTATTTTTAGGCTGGAGATACAATTAAAATTTTGGAACATGTTAATGATGATTGGTGTTCTGGGTCCAATGGAGGGAAGATTGGTCATTTCCCATCTTCGTTTGTCCAAATCTTGTCTTTACGATGAATCGTCTCTTCAAAGTATACATGTAGAAGAAAATGATCAGGACTGCAACAAATTTTAGAAAGGTCCAGGTGTTGCGTTAAATTTTGCAATTCTGTTCTCGATATATATGTATGTATTATATATATATATATATATATATATATATATATATATATATATATATATATATATATATATATATATATATATATATATATATATATATATATATATTACCAGTATAGTTTTGACTATTGCCGGTAATTTTCAAATTAAACGAACATTTTATCAAGATTGTTATGCACCGTATAACTTACCTTAGCAACTAAGGATTGACAGTAGTAGGTAAGGATTGACTGTAGTATGAACATTAATTTTGCCTGTTTGGAAAAACCATTTATCATGCATGCAGGTTCTATTCGTATCCTATATATACGCTGATTTCGAATGAGCTAATTGAAATATTTAAATCCTCGTCACAAGCATTGATGTTGAATAAGCAATGTTTGTATCTGCGACTTATGATTCTTCGTTACAAACGATGGTTATTATAGCCCTGACAGGTGTTAACTGCCGCGTTTACCGATAGATACAGTAAGTTGTTGGCTGTTTTGGTTCGTAATTGTAGTGAATGTTTAAGCCCGTTTTCCACTCACGTATTTCGCTGGCGAAAAATTTCGCCACCGAAAAAGTTCATTTGTTGTTCTTTCGCGTCGTCAACGAAAGGTCAAACAGAAGTTGAAAATTTTAAGCAACTGTAGCAGGAGAACAAATTTCTTCAGCGGCGAATGAATGTAAAAAAATGATTTATTTGTCAAAATTTTTCGCCAGCGGCGGCGAAATAACGGAGTGGAAAATTAGCATTATAGAAGTCGGGAACACAAGCGCCTATTGGTGCGCTACGGCTATTTTATAATAAGGAATGGGGAACTGGGAGAAACGGGAAGTAGGGGAGTTGGCAAGTAGGGCAAACTATTAGTGGGGCAAACAAGGAAATTGGCAAGTGGGAAAACATATTGTGGGAAGTGGGGCAAACAGGGTGTTCGAGAAGTGGGGAATTAGGAAAGGGGGGAATTGGGGCGTGTCACAATAGGGGGAATGGAAGATCCGCAGAACCATATAGAGTGGGAAATGGTGGAGGTAGGAGATTTGCTGTAGGGAATGTGGTGTGGACTGACCGCAAGAACGGAGGGAAAAGAGTGGAGAATGGTGGAAAACAGGGATTAGGAAGGGAGAAACTGGTGGGTAGTGAGTCCGGAAACAGCGAAACCTAGATTAATAAATAAGGGAAATAGAGAATAACCTTCTTGGTGTTTCACTTTGTTGGCAAACATATTATTATGGCATGTTGGCATTCACTAATTCATATAATAATTAATTAATTAGCATGTTAACTTACTTAAAGCATGTACATTACCAATTACAAATCAACCATTGCATGTTGATGGCCATAATGCTATAGGTACTATATTTTCCGGTTCCCCTACTTCCTTCCGATCTCCTACCCTCAATTTCCAGATTCGCCATTCCCTATATATTAAAAGATAGCCAGCGAGCTAGTTTGAAATTTGTTCGCAAATATTTGATACTAATCGAAAATAATTTTTCTCACGAATTTAATTGCCAACTTTTAAAAATAATTAGTGTAAATATAGGAATGAAATAATTTGTTGAATTGTTTGATTGCATGTTTGTTATTAGATTACCTTTTAAATAATTTTGCACTTTCAAAAGTTGTCGAGAAAATTCACGTGTTACAGCAGTTTTACATGATACGTGCATGACCGCCTCACGCATGGGAAAACTGCTGTAAAGGCTATATATATATATATATATATATATATATATATATATATATAGGTCAATGATATTGTGTTTTCGCGGTGTTGTGTGATGAGACTACCACCGTACCGGGTGTCCCAAAAAAGTTACTGATTTAGAGTACAAAGATTCAGAATAGCTATTGCATTGCAGAAATTTTAAATCTACTATAGTAATTTGAAATTTAAGTTAAATTGACTTCATTGAAATTTACACTAATCGCGAAAGAATGGCGACTGTATTTAAATTACGTTGATATGTTGTTTTATGTCATTCTTCAACTTTTGAAACGTACCCAACTTCAAACATTTGCATCTTGGTCAGTATGAATAATGAATATGAATATTGCATGGCGTTCAAGTGTTGTACACCAAAGTTGCATGGAATTTAGCCTTTCATCAACATAATCTCATTTGAATGCAATATAATAGCTGTTCTAGTTTTTACGAGTACACGCACTATACGACTGTAATTCTTTTTCGGAGCGGCATATGGTGAGCAACAGCATCTCGTATCAAGACACCTTTTTTAAATATCTTTTTGTTAATAACTTAATATTTTATAATAATATAAGTGTTTTTTAAACTTTAAAGCTGCCAAATTGATGGTTTATCCCATTCTTGGTCAATTTTTTAAGGTGAAAACAGAAATTTAAATCCGGCCGGATTTTCTCCAAATCCTGCCGGATGCCGGAAACAGAAACGTTTCGTATTCTTAGCGTAAATACCTTTTATTGTTTTTATCAAAACATTCCGAGGTGTAATGTGATTTTCTTTCCAACCTTAGTAACTTATATTTTTATATCCAAAAAATGAACTTTATATTACAAAGTGGTGAATATATTTTCTGCTTCCAGAGTTCGATAAATTACTAGCTGAATGTACGCATGAGCAAAATGGACTGTATACCGCATCTTTAAGTTATCACATATACCCACAATATTTTCCGGCAATTTTGAAAGTGCTGCATCAATATATTTTACCTCATAGTCATATGTATATGTTTTGTTATGTATTATGTCTTTGTCAAATAATATCAAATATAATTCGTAATGAAAGGATAGCTAGCTATCCATAACCATATATATAAATATCAATTCTGAATCCAAGAGTATATTTTTGTATAAACGTTTTATCAATATATATTACCACAATATAATTTTCGTCTCCAATTTAATGAAATCGATGAAAACAGGTTTGTTATATAACAAGCAAAAGCCATATAAGACGTGATCAACTTAAGTAAGTACCTGCCAACCTGATGGTCGTGTATTGCATACACAAATATATACGTTATGTGGGGAAATATCAAAGGTCTGTTATGTATACTATGTATATAAAAAGTAACTGTCAACCAAGCTGCAAAGTTAAACTTTTACCCTATTCCCAAGGCAGAAGATATCTTTGCCACTTTAAATGGTGGAGAGTAATTCACAAAGCTTGACATGAGTCAAGCCTATCAACAAATCTTATTGGAAGATGAATGAAAAAATATATACTTTTTTCAGTACAATCAAATTGCCATATGGAGTGTCCTCTTCCCCTGGGATTTTCCAGCGTACTATGGAAAACCTACTGCAGGGGATTCCTTTCATTGTTGTGCGAGTGGATGATAGTTTGGTTTCTGGTTCGAATGTTGAGGAACATTTAGCAAATTTAGAAGAGGTCCTAAAACGGTTGCCAGATCATTGGCTACGCCAAAAGAAGAAGAAGTTTGCTTTCATGGTGAACGAGGTGGTGTATGAGGGATAATACCTGGCGTGCGTTTGGTCGCTGGACAACTGAGAAAAAAACGCCAAACTTCATTCCAAAGACATGGTGAAAACTCGTCCATATATAAACACTGGAGGAACAAAATTCAGAGAGAAATTAAAGCGGCCGAGTCCAATGCATTATACACATAAAGTTGCAGAACTGGGACAGACTAACCCCCGGAAATAGTGGAAACAAATAAAATGTCTTATGGGATAAGACATTCAACAGGAGTTGCATTATCAATTTCTTGGTGACAATGGAAATGTTAAAATACTCGCAGACAAAGTCAATGACTTCTTCTTGAGCATAACTGAGAACTTTCCACCGTTATCGCCTATTTGCTCAACTCAGAATGTCCCAAATGAGTCTCTTGTTTCTGAAGCAGAGGTTTATCGATCATTGTCATCTCTACAGGTAGCCAAATCTGTTGAACCAGACGAGTTCCCAAATAGAGTTTTAAAGGAATTTGCTCCGGAGCTTTCCCCAGTTATATCTCCCATACCGAAAGTAACCCCACCACAATCAATTGAAAGCGACTTACGTCCAATATCCCTAACATGCAACTTTGCTAAAATTATGGAGGGATGTTTCTGTAAGAGACTTCTATCACAGTTGACACGAAAGTCCCCCGCCAGTTTGCTGTAAGGGTCACTCCACTACGGACGCGCTACTATTTTTGCTTCAACCCGTTTATGAGGCCCGATAGCGGAAATGCTTGTGCTCGTTTCTTTTTTGCTGACTTTAGCAGAGGGTTCGACCGTATTGACCACCATGTTCTCATAGAGGAGCTGATGAAATTGGATATTCATCCTATCTTATATAATTGGATTAACGCTTTCCTTTCCAATAGAAAACAGGCTGTCAGAATAGGGGGAACTTTGTCAGATTGGAAATCCCCGAATGGCGGTATACCTCAGGGAACTAAACTTGGTGTTATTCTTTTCTCGGTTATGACAAATAAGCTAATATCTGACTGGCATTTAAGGACAAAGTTTGTCGATGACATAGCTGCGCTAGAGATTATTCCCAGGAACTCAATTAGTTATCTGAACAATACGGTAGATGGATTATATCAATTCTCTGTAAATCATAACATGAGTCTCAACCCACTTAAATGCAAGGAGATGGTAATTAATTTTATGAATAATAACTCTATAATAGTCAGCAACGTAGTAGAAAGGGTAACCAATTATAAATTACTTGGAGTTCAACTGAGTGAGGATCATAAGTGGAATAAACATGTTGATTATATCTACAAAAAAGCTTGTAAGAAGCTATATTCCCTACGCGTACTTCGTAGAGCTGGTGTTCAGCAAAGGAATATTCTAAAAGTGGATCTAACTACTATCAGACCCGTATTGGAATATGCTGTACCAGTATGGCAAGCGATCCCTGTCTATTTAAGTGAAAGGCTAGAATCAATACAGAGAAGGGCACTTCGAATCATTTTCCCTTCCATAGACAATTATGATGAGGCGATGATGATGGCACAGACACCAACATTGAAGAGTATACGTGAACAGTTATGTAAAAAATATATGACTAAAATGAAGAAGGAAGATCATTCCCTGCACTTTATGCTCCAAAAACCTAAGATGAGCGAATGCAGGTATTCTTGGGTTTCATTTGAAACCCAAGAATAGCATATACGAAGTGGACAAAACAATACTGTTTTGTTTGAGAACACGATCAAATGCAGAACTTTAAGATCAGAACAATTTTTTACTTTTAAATATTTTTAATGTTTATACATAGTTTTAACAGTTATATGTATTCATTCATTTTTGTAAAAATAGTTTTAGTAATACTTTGAACTCGTTAACTCAGTGTAAATACTGCAAGAGAGTTTCAATAAACATCAATCAATTTAGGTCAGAAGGTAAATAACCAAGGAATACAACCAATCCAAGAGATCGTCAGAGCCATCACCGACGCACGGGCACCGAATAATGTGTTTGAAGTTCGATCATACTTGGGATTGATCAACTATTACCAAAAAAATATTTACCAAATTTGTCAACGATCCTGACACCACTGCAAAGCCTGTTGGAAAACGGGAAAAGCTGGAAATGAAGTGAAGAACACCAAGAGGCATTTAGAAAATCCAAAGAGTTATTGAAGTCTTCACATCTGCTGGTGCATTATGACCCAGACAAGGAGTTAATACTGGCTTGCGACACATCACCCTATGGCTTGGGGGCTGTTGGAAAACCAATTGCATTCACGAAAAAACCTTTTTCAACTAGATAAAGAGGCATTAGCCATCGTATTTGGTGCCAAGAAATTTAACCAATATGTGTATGGTCGACATTTTACCATACTGACGGATCATGCACAAGCCGCTTGAGCGCGGGTACTTCATCCTGCAGGCAAGATGACACCACTTATGACTGCAGCTCGAATTCAGCGTTGGGCATTAGTTTTGTCTACATACGACTACGCCATCCAGTACAAAGAATGAATTCAGAATGCAAATGCTGATGCCCTCAGTAGACCATTGTCAGAAACCCTTGGTTCAACACCAGTTCCTGAAGAAACAGTCTTACTCATGGAACTATTGGAGACTACTCCAATAAGAGCAGAGCAAGTGAAGAATTTGGCAAAGAGAACTCCTGTACTTGCTGGCGTTTTGAAATTTCCTAAGCAAGGATGCCCTAGCAAGTGTCCAAATGCGGAGCTTCGACCATATTTTCAACGACGAGACGAGCTGAGTGTTCAAGACGACTGTATATTTTGGGGAGTTGTTGTTTCACCCCAAGGAAGAAGGCAAGTGGTTGAAGAATTACACGAAACCGACTCAGGAATATGCAAGATGAATAGTCTAACAATTAAGAAGCTATGTATGGTGGCCGAACATGGATAACGATCTGGAAAACAAAGACTCAAAGTATGAACGTGTAAAACTGCCAGATAAATGGAAAGAATCCTTCCAAAGTGCGATGAATCCATGGGAATGTCAAGCCGACCAGGAAAGAAGGAGTATAACATCCGGGAGTCAGTACCTCTGGTAATCAAAATAGACTTAGAGTTTTGGGCATTAAGCCAATGTCATAGTTAACGTTGTGTGTTTAACATCAAAATACTACACTACACTCCTTGTTTGCCCCACTCCCCGGTTCCCCACATCCTGATTCCCCAATTCTCCGATTACCCAATTCCCCGATTCTTCCCAATTCTCCGATTCCCGTTCCCTATTCTAAAGATAGCCGTGCTTATTTGAACGAGAGCGCTTAAACGTGGTAGACAGGCAGCTAAATTAAAAGAAGGGTTATAAAGACGTGACTTCTCATATGGCCTCAAAAATAATCTAAACATTTTGGGTAAATCTCGCTGTTATTTTAGCATATCATTTTTGACCGAACAGTTGGAGGTCAAAATTGTCAAATTTCAAAGCTCCGTAATAATATTAGTGGCCATGCAAAATTTATTTTTATACGGGGACGGGGCACATACTTTTTTTGAGCTGCATAGACTAAAGCGGGGCACACAAATTTTTTCTGCCTTGCAACTGCATAGAAGCGGGGCACAAAGATTTTTTTCTGCCTTGCAAGGTGTGGCACTGATGAAGGAGATCAAATAACTACAAGTGAGAGGCCAGGACGCTGTTTATTCTCTTTAGGAGAAGTTCATACCCGCAGGGGTTGCCGTGTCGGACCTCCCGTACATTTCAGTGATTTCCTCTAGCTGAACAAGGTAAGCAACTCCGAGCGGGGCTGGAGATTTTTATCATACCAACCTAATTAAGCGGGGTTTGCCTTCTTTTGAAATTCAAAATTGATTTCCTCCTGCTGGGGGGTACAATAAATTTTGCATGGCCCTTTACTCGAGGAGAAACACGTGAATCAACTCAAAATGTTTTTTTGAACACTAGTAATAACGATATATACCAAAAGTATTAAATCCAGCATTGTATCGCCAAGTGAAACCCATGCGCCAAGTGAAACCCATGCACCAATTTGAACAAAGTACAGTAAGATGTAAGATGAAGTACTAACCAAAAGAAGACGACACTTTAGCACTTAGCATAATTTTATTTTATTTCGCCGTTTGAGTGATGGTAAAGAGCGATTTGGCTCGTATATCAGCTCCGTGTTCCTGAGCTCGTGTTCACGATTTTAAATATAATCGGTACTATAGCAATTTTTTTCCTTTTACTTGGAAGTTGGAACCATATAAAATAAGGAAAGAAGATGAAGTTCAAAGCAGATCAGTTAGCTCTTCTAAAGGATTTCGTTAACATTATGAAGCTCAGTCCCGCTGAAATTCACAATCCCAATTTGAAATTCTTCAAAGATTGGATTGAAAGGTAAAGAAAAGAAGTCGCTGTAACCATGTGATTGTGAGCAGCATAGTCACACAGTAACAGCATAAAAAATAATAAAAAATGATAATAATTTAATAATAATTTAATAATAATGTGAAAATAAAAGCTTATAGGTTGATTATCGCTCAATCCATTTGTATAAATCGACGCTCGTTTTGGATTCTAAGCTAATGATTTAAGTTTCAGTATCATATCGTATATATATTACAATTCCTGGAAGTTTGTGCTGACTGTGCAAGTGGTGATATGCAACAATTTTGTGATGACATCATTTCACTGTCTATGCAACTGACAGAATTATAGCACATATTTAACAGTTATTGGATGAGGTTTTTGTGATATGCGGAATTATCAAGGTCGAGCTAAGCGTTATCAGCCACGCCTTCAGCTCGGCTGATAACTCTTACCAAGACCTTGATAATTTTGCATATCGCAAAAACCGAATTTGATTGTGTTAAATAGATACCGCTTGCTAATCATTGCAGGCTCATTTGCAGATAACTCAGTTATCTGCTGGCAGATAACTGAATGTTCTGTAGGTTGCGTAATTGCGCGATTTAACTGTAAGCTCTTAGCCAATCAAATTGCTTTTACCAACTACAATGTATAATATTGTGGGCTAATGCACCGATCAATGTTATGCCCGACCCTAGGGAGGGTGGGCAAACCCAGAGGCATTTGACATTTTCAATTTTTTGTGTCAATAGTCGCCACTTTGTGGTCAATCGTAGTCAAATGGCCCGCACCCCTGAGTTAGAGGAAAACTACAAAGATGTTATAATCTGCTCATACAATTTATTTATATTTATAATATAGCATTGGTAAATTCTGAACGCTATAAATTGGCTAAGAGCTGTGTTGATATAACTTAATATAAACACGGAAATTTCCTGTCGCTCTTGGATTCAATTGTATAATCATTATTTTCTCCTTTCTTATCATTTATTTCCTAGTTAAATATGTATTGAAAAGACAAAAGTTATCAAGATTTTATTTTAAAAAGCCACAAATGAAGTGATACTATTCATGAATTCACCTTGCCATTTTCCTGAAACATGCTTGTGAAAATGATAGGTGACTGGTAACAAGAATGTCAAAACGCCCGACCCTGGGGAGCTTCCTTGATGTCAAATAAAATAAAATCCCCGACCCAGAAGCAGGGAAATCAGGTCAATTCCCTGTGTATCCCCGCCCTCCCTAGGGTCGGGCATGCCATTGATTGGTGCATAATCTCGAATGGTCTGTGCCAGCGTAGGTATATTAGTGACAATGTACAAGCTTTCGTTTGTAGGGATGCAACTACCTGAAAAATACAAGGAACATTTCAACGTTTCGAGTGAAAGGCCTTCATTGGGATGTTAGTGGCTAATTTCCCAATGAAGGGCCTTCGCTCAAAATGTCATATTTCATATTGTGGGTTGACTATACCTCACAGACATTTGTTGCCAATAAACTTGGCATTTAGTTTCGTAATCTCTTAATAACAATCTAACATTCACCCACAATGAACACCTTTGCAGATAGTGTGCTTTTAAGGCTGTACAGTAACCCCAATATACCAACAACAATGAGTAATCTCACACTAATATGCTTACAAATTTTGTAATCTCCCACCAGAGATCTCTGGCTTGGAGTGCATGGAATGCACCCTGGTGTATGGAGTAATGACTATGCAAAACAGACAAAATGTGGTGTTTAACCCATTGAGCCACAATGTGCCCCAGTGCGCCCTACTTATCTTTTTTTACTTGTCTAACACCAGACGATTTTACTCGTCAATGGGGAAGCTTGCAGCTTAATGCCCAGTTAAAAGTAAAATATGGAAATTTTAATTTTCATCAAACCCTTTTGGAATAAACAGCAATTACTTCATGTGACTACAAGAAATTTTTATTTATGCCTAGAACCTCTTTGAAGCAAATATTTCCACTGAAACCCTAGGGAACATAAATTAAGAAAATTTATGTATTGTATATGCTAAATTTCGTCAGAAATGAATAATATTTTGGCATTAGCAACTACATTTAGTTGACCTCCAATACATTTGGAGGACAAAATTTGCAATTTGAACTTGATTATAACTCAGATACATTACAGTAATTAATATGTATTATAAACGTATATGCATGATTTTGTTCTGCCCTTGACAATTAGTAAAATTATTTGGCATTAGACAGAGTAAAATGATAAAGTAGGGGGCATTGTGCAATTGGGGCACAATGCAACTTAATACGTGAATTTGACAATGAAAACTACTGACTATAGTACCGGTATGTTGATCTTGTAGATTGGTTTTCCCTTTTTTGCATTATTCTATTTCCTGTGTAATTTGTTGAACTAACAAGGCCTCGGCATAACAAGCTAGGCCTCGGAATTCGGCAATTGGCAAACACTAGAGGTGTGCAAATCCGATCCGGATTCGTTCGGATTTCGGAACCAAAATATTCATTTCGGATTGGATTGATAAAGTTGTTTCGTAGTCGGATCTGATCAGACTTCGATATCCGAAATAAAATTAATTAATTGTCCACGCATTATCGCAAGAATTAATTATCCATGCATTTATCAAAGCATCATCGTGGTTGTCGGTGCATTATTCGTTTGATGCTTCAATTGGACGTCACTTTGTCAGCTTCTTGACATGTATTTCTTGCTTTTAGGGTTAAATATTTCAACTTGAATGAGAAATTTATTTTATTATTAAGGAATTCTTCGGATCGGATCGGATTTCTTTATCAAAACACGGATCACATCGGATTCGGATTAGACAATATCGGATCGGATTTTAAACATTAGGCAATTGTCGGATTATAAACGTCCAATCCGATCCGATGCACACCTCTACCAAACACTGTCAGCTTAGTTGGCGAAATATGATAGATCTGAAATTATACTTTCATCATCTGAATTCAGAGCAAATTAATGACTCTTAACTTCACATATTTAAACTTTAAGATGTGTGTATGCTATAAACATAAATCAATTGGAATAGCAAATCATACACTATAGGAATATCAAACTAGTGATGGAGACACTAGGGGAACCAGGGGGCAACCATCCCCCACCCCACCCCCATCAATAATTTCAAAAAACCTTTGATTAATTAACAGCTGCACGAAAGTTGTGACAAATTACATGTATGGTTGAACCTAACCTGAAATTCAGGCCCTAATTTTAAATAGGGCCTGACACAAAACCTGTCTAGTAGACCGTGGGACGCCCAAATGTTATTTTTAGACACAGTCATGCAATAATCCAATATGATTGACAAGTGTAATTGTAGATTTCATTGCACACAAAAAATTATATTCTCATGAACATGTCCGCAGAGTGTGCATTTTGCTTTTTAATTAAACTTAAAAATTCAAGGTACTTTTATATAATTAAGAATTCAGTTTCTCTCTTTAACCGAACAGCAAACAAAGATTTAATTAGTCAGTTCTGCGCACGGCTTGAATGCCAAGCTTTCTCAAGGTCTCAACTTGCTGGATGCGGATATACTCTAATGGGCTAACAACAGCAACAACGAAATTCTTAATCGTACCACGTAGGACCTGATAAATAAGACTTTTGCCAAAGCCAGTTGGCAGAACAGCAAAGACAACATGGCTGTGAACAACAAGCTTTCGAATACATGACTAATTTTGCTGTTCTTTCAGCGTCGTGTGTCCAAACTTCGTCAAAGATTTTAATAAAGCCCTTTCAAAATACTGTTTGTTTGATTTATTTTCTGCCATAAAGCATGCATAAAAGAAAAGAAATTCGATAATGGAATTTGACACATGCATTTGACCTTAATTGTCGCCTTGACCGAGCTATTTTTAAAACTATTGTTTATGTGAACTTGCAACCAATCAAAATCTTTCATGATGCTGATCGACCAATCAGATTTCCAGTCCACCAGATGGACGGGCATCCCACAGTTTAGACAGGTTTTGTGTCAGGCCCTATTTAAAATTAGGGCCTGAATTTCAGGTTAGGTTGAACCAAAAAAACAACATGGTGAGCAATAGATAAGCTATGTATTGCATTGAAATTTAAGGCTGAAACAGGTGACAAGGTCAACATTTTTTTCATCCAGCAAATTACTTTGAAGAAGTATTAGCAAATTAGTTACCACAGGAACATTCTATTGCCAGTTGATTTGTAAGTTTGCTGACCTGCTTTACAGTAAAGCTTTGAAGCCTGCATAAACGTAACAGAATATAGTGGTTCTTCAGATAGAATAAGGCCAAAAAAAGAAATACCTGGGTTTCCTAATTTTCTCATTGGAAAAACTTAGGTAGGGTACAGTAGGTCGGGTTTTCTTCTTTTTTTTGTTATTTTTTTTATAAAATTAATGCTCATGCATGAGAGTGATATTGTACATCAATTATGGCAGCACAGATGGCTCAAGCATTTGTTAAATGTTATATCAACTTTGAAACAAACAGGTTATACTTTATGTAAATAGTACAAACTCTTTGCAAACTTCAGATAAAAAGATTAGGGTCAGTGATTTCCGGGTCGGGAAACCAGAAACCCAGGTATTTTTTATTTGTCCTAATGGTTTGAATCGAAAGTCTACTTCTCTTGTATGAAATATAGTAAAAATCTATAATTTATTGACACACACTTCTAAAAGACTCAAGGACAATATAAAGAATAAATGTTAACTGTATAATATATAATTTAGTTTTGGAGGAAATTTGCCCCCTCCACCTGAAGAACCATCAAGTGAAACAGAAGATGAAAAAGAACCAAAAGTTGAAGACATGGAAGAAGTATATAATGTCATTTTGAATTCTCGTCAATTTTATTCAAATAAAATTTAATTAAACATTAAATTGTTACTGCATATAAATTGACATCTTTTCACCATCAGAGCTTTTGACACACTTATTGCCCTAGACTATTACCATGTTGATATCCCAATCTAGGTTAAGACTCCAAACCATTAATGTTATGCAAGTGTTAAGTTTTTATATTTTGATATCATGGGAAATGCAATTTAGGTTCTGTGGTTTTCACATTACTGCAAGTGAATGAAGAAAACCCTTGATCTCTGAAATGAAAGCAGTCGCACTAATAATTGCTCAACCATGATTACTTTTTTATACCAGGAGAATGAAGAACCAAAGAAAGAAACTACCACAAGTACTAAATCAACAGAAAAAGATCCAGAAAGTGATGAAAGTGCAGAAAGTGATATTGGTATGTATCTTTGCAGTTCTCATCTTAATATTTAATAATGATAAGACTGCTCATTTTGATCACTTTCCCATGCCTTTTTTCAGAGATAGATAATGAGGGTGTGGTTGAACCAGACACTGATGAACCACAACCAATGGGTGATATAAATGTTGAGGTTTGTAATTGCAAATTAAATAGATTTGTGCTATAGATATAAACCTAAAGGCAGAGTGATATACTTCAATGAAGTATATCAAAGTGCAATTATATATGAACAATTTAATCCATGTAGGAGGTCTCAGAAGATGATATGACAGAGGCAAGTGAAAAACGATCTGCTGGAGTCATGGCAATGAGTGAAGGTAAGCTGATGTTGTTTTTTGTGAAACATTATGCTGCTTGTTTAATTTAACAGGTAAACTACATTTTCATGCAATATTGATTAAACTACATGTATAAACGTTTGAACTACTATGACATATTTGTTACCAGTTTCTTACTTTCACGGTTTTAAAAAACTTTTGCTGTTAAAAGATGAAATTTTCAAATTTCATTGCCTAAGTAAACTCTATGAAAAATAGTTCCATTTTAAATGGAACTTAAATTCTAATAATGTAGTAGATTTATGCGAATTTTAAATGTTAATAAGACATCAGTAGCTCAGTCAATATTACTTTATTGAATGTATATATTGAGTTTAAAACATTGTGCTTATTTAGGTGAATTGGATAAAGCAATAACCTTATTAACCGAAGCCGTTTTGAAAAATCCTCGTTCAGCTCCAACTTATGCTAAAAGGGCAAGGTAAATTTTTTGAAAAGTTATTTTACTATAAGGTTGACCAGCAGCGTATATCAATGCATGTTCATATTTGATTTTAATTACTGAACTTTGAGCTGATATAGGTAATAATATATATGTCCAACAAGTTCACTTTATATGAGGTGGATCTATAACCAGCATGGCAGGCTCTTTATAAGTAGAACTGATCACCGGTGACATGCACCGTCCACTTTTTAATACTATAAACAAAATAAAAATGCAAGATTCAATTAAATTATTTAACAAGTAACATGTTAAACTATACCAACGTTTTAAAGGATTAGTGTATTTTGGATCTTTTCTTGAACAAATTAGCTTTATATATGTCAATCAACCTTAATTCAGCAAATCACAATTCTTCCGGGCTTCCAGGCCTTAAATATCGGTCGGTCACGGACATTGTCCGACCCATTCGTGAAATTGTCCGACGTAGAGAGGAAACCACCGGACATTCTGTCCGACCAAAGTGAAACTGAGGTTTATTGTTTGTCTGGCGACCCGAGTGCATTGGTGACCGACCGAACTGTAGCTTTGTCCGACGTAAATCAAAATGAACCCTAGCCCAGGACTGGACATGTTGTTTTAACGTAGTCGAGCGCGGGGCGGCGAGCGAAATGGTGAAGTGGAAAATGGGCTTAAGTTGTCGAAATCTTTTTTAATACTGCTGTTCTGGCATGCAAGTTAATTTTGGCTTGGAAATAAGTATGAAAGAAACAAATTATTTAATATCTTTACAACATTTACCGTTTATTCATTTATGTCATTCGGACTTATTTCCGAGCCGTAAAAACTGAACTGAAGGTCATCGGACATATGTCCGACCCAAACTCAACGTCACCGGACATTTTGTCAGACGGCCCTGGAAAAGATATTTTAAGGCCTGCGGACTTCACGGCAGGCCCTTCGCCCCATTCCCCTAGAAGAGACAGCAACGCTGAAGTGGATCCTACTTGATAAAGATCGACCAAAGTTCGCCACCTCAGGCAAAACTTCGTCGGTAACGACCTTCCTGACGAAGAACTTTTAGTCGAAAGGGTAGTATAGGTAATTGCATGGCTTTTCCGAGAGATTATATCATTGTTCCTTTATATCTACTGTGGGCGTCAGTTATTAGAGAGTTTAAGCTTCGCGTTATACGGCAAACGCCAGGCAAAGAAAAATTTTACGGTATCAGGCAATAAAGAGTAAATGAACTTGCTGTTTTAAAACTGAAATACATAATTATTCTTTCGACGCAAGAAAGAAAATATGAAACGAAAACGTTCAACGAAAATTTTGCCATGAAAGTTCGAACCTGCCGTTTGCCGTTCCCGGAAACGTGAAGTTTAAACTCCCTATTGAAATCCGCGCTAGGGTTGTTACATGCAAAATTATTTTTGCTGACTGAAAACATAAGAAAGAAGATCTCGCTCTAGCAGTTATCAATTTTCGTTGGTGGTTTTCTGGCAGACCGGACTTGATGAAGGTCGTTTCTCAAGTCATATTTAACTTGATGTTTTATATTGACAAAATTGACTTTAGGAGGTGTCATTCCCGACTCGCGTGTAGCGCGCAAGCTAATTGACAGTCGCATTTCCGTACTTTGTTCCTTCGTTTATTTTGCTTGCTGCAAGAAAAATAAATATAGAGACATGATTGGCTCTTCTCTAGTTATTTACAGTATCATTAAAGCCATATATTTGGTATATTTTCAGTTGTTATATACGCATGAGCAAGCCAAACGCGGCAATTCGTGATTGCAACCGAGCAGTTGAACTGAATCCTGATTCAGCGCATTCATACAAGTGGAGAGGTAGAGCATACATGTAAGTAACGATTATTATCTTAAGCTTCCACTATATTTAACTATGTACATTGTAATAATGTTAATACACCTGCAATTCGTGGAGCCAGTCATGCATGGAAATTTTACTTGCCAATTTGGTAAACACTTGAGGAAAAAACAAACTTATACTTCTGAGTGACTGTAAAAAACAAAATGTTAATTTTAGTTATAGTGTGAAAGATTTTAACTTATATTCATTCAGTAATTAATGTTTTGTTTTTATTTGTACTGACTGCCCATGCTTGTTACAAATGTGCCAGGGTTTAGCTGATATTAGTGCTAGCTCTGAGGCCTGAGCTCAGTCTTTTTATCAAACCTTGGCGATTTGCATTATTGCTCAACAACCAATCCCTTAAAATCGTCAGCTTTGCGCAGCCTATACACATGTCGTTATAGATGTGTTGTGTCGTGTTATTAAATTTGGATGTGAAATCGTCCTGAATAATGTGCAACACAGTGAATAAGTAGCAATTTGTTATCTCTTGATTTTGGTATACTGCACGTATATTCGAAATTACTGCTGTGTCTTGGTTTGTGATTGTTAGGTTGTTAGGAGAGTGGGAGAAAGCTAAAAGTGACTTGGCAACAGCATGTAAGATTGACTGGGATGACCAGGCTAATGAATGGTTGAAAGCTGCTGCACCAAATGTATGTCCTTGCATGCATGTATACTGTATGTAATGAGAAGTAAAAAATTGATAATAACTTCTTATTAACCGAACGCGAGGTCTGTACAGAGAAATATCGGACCGAGGTCTTTTTTGTACAGACCGAGCCCGTAGGGAGAGGTTTGTATAAAAATACCAAGGTCCGATATTTCTCTGTACCGAGCAAGCGAGGTTAATAAAAAGTTTATTATATGGCATTTATAGGCATTTATACTTGAAACAAACAAGAAATGCATGATTTGAAATGCAAATTAGTAGCGTTGTACACATTTGGTCGAAGAAAACAAAAAATACCAATGTATACCGCCGGTCCATTACGGGGAAATAATGGGCCGCTGAAAGTGCTTCTCATCCAATCACAGTCCGCCATTTCATCGGAAGTGATATTTGCCATATAATAAATTAATAATTAATAATAATGCAGTTTCGTGTCAGTAATGTATACTTGTTAATTTCTCACTTTTGTACTGACTATGGCATACAAAAATTTGAAATCCTGCGATAAAACAAGACGTTTCCTAAGATATGTAGTTTCACAACCTTGTTCCAGTTCTTTTTTGCCCAGTTTTGGTAAACGCATTTTGTGAATTGTGTTCATATTTAACTTGTTTCTACCAGTTTACGCAATATTTTTCAGTTAAAGTTGGGCCTATATTATTAACCTACTGTAATAACCTTTCTATAAGCTTTCGTTTGAAGTATTATCCGAGCACATATTTCGGACGTAAAATAATCTGCATAATATATAGAAAACAAATGAGTTTTAATATAGCAAAACGAGGTCCATAATATGGTTAACAACATACGTATATGAGAACGTCCAACAATGCATTGATCTTGATATTTTTCGTCTTTTTCAAGCATATTTCAACGCAATTCGGAGAATATAAGTTTGATAAATGCTTTTTCATTTCAAGGCATTAAAGATTGAAGCACATAAACGAAAACAGGAACGAAAGAGAGAGGAAAAAGAAATAAAAGAGAGAAGGTACAATGTCACTCACATTGTATCATAATTTTGTAATTGTTGTAATAGACAATCCATATTTTTCGTGTACGAATTTGTTTTTCTTTGATATTGATCCCAATCACAAATTTAACCTTAAACGTACTGTGTACGAAACATGAGTAAGTAATCACATAAAACGAGGCCATACACTGGGCAAGAGGACAATAAACAGTACAATAGCCAATTCCCATTATAGACTAATTTTAAAACTAGGCAAGGAGATGCAAATAAATCACAACAGCTAGAAAGAGCATACTAAAATTAGTAAAATTGCAATATAGCCTTGCAACGTTTGCAAATTGTGTATACTTTTGTATTGCTTGCGGAGATTACTATATACCATTTTCGGCCCAAATGTGGTAGGAATGTGGTAGCAATTTCCGCACGCAATACAAAAGTATAGTATTACAAAATTTGCGAACTTTGCAAGGCTATATTTTCCACATTTTACAACATTTCGCAACCAAACTTCGCAATTTTACTAATTTTAGTATGTTCTTTCCGGGAATATACTTTCTTGCCAATATAAAAAATTAGTCTATAATGGGAATTGTCTGTTATTGACTTCGTTTTACACCTTTCTTATCTCCACACCAAGATGTTGTTATCGCATGCCTTGCCTGTTTGGTGGTTAGGTTGGTGGTAATATAACATTGGCTACGTTATATACTGTACAACAGGCTCATTGCTCAAGGCGGTTAACAATATAAAGTTGTAACGTATACAACCGAACGCGTAATGTAGTATTACACTGTATCATTACTTCACTTGCATGACTGGGCGAATAAAATTAAATGAATAAAGCTGAAGAAAATAAATTAAATGAAGTCAAGAAAAGGGACATGCAATGTACACACAGCTCCAATCAAGATTTTCACAAGCGGGAATGTTTCAGAATCTAAATGATGGGTCTATACTGTAGTTCAACATTTTAAACAGTGCACCCTACCCATTGTGTGGTTTGTGTGCTTGTAGAAATTGTAATTCTTTTACTTGAATATTTTAATTCTTTTTTCAGGAAAAGAGTGGAAGCCGCTAAAAAGGTTGGTTATTTTGTCCTAATGCATGCAGTATTACCATGTAACATTTTTATTGCTTTGGAGTTAACATTTTTATTGCTTTGGAGCTAGTGAACATGGAGGTCGGGAGAGTTTGCCTCTATTCAACGGTACAAACAAAACATAGTATTGCGCATTAATTTGTGGAATTTGACCTCTCTACTAGGCCATATGTGTTCGATCCATAGATATATCATATACATATATGAGATATCTGTATGGTTCGATCCCGTTCTTAGTCCAATTTATCATATGCTGCAATTTGTACTGTTGTTGTATTTCGCCCGTTCAGATTTTTAAACCTGATGAATGGAGAGGCCATATAAGTGTATATTAGTGATATAAAATTTAAACCCGGGAGGGGGGGGGGGGGGGGGGAAGTAATGTGTCGGTCACGTTGTATAGACGCATGATGCATGTTGTTACTGGTTAACCTGGACAACGGATTTCTCAAGATGTCGGTTTTTGGACTTTGTTCCTTCTTACACTTTGTTCCTTCTTACACAAATTAGCTGACGGCTATAATTCCGTACTTAAACATAGGACGTTGAATAAATTCTATTTTCCCTTAATACGTTTTATTGTTGATATTATTAGGAACGTGAAAGAGTACAGCGTGAGGAAGAAGAA